TTCTTGATTGGCAAGTAAGAACACTATGTAAGTGGATGGATGATGGTTGCAACGGTATTTTTCAAAAGTGAGAAAATCCGGATTATTAAATAACTAAATGTTCAATTAAAGCCATAATTGTTAGTGCAGATTGTATTAATTGGAAAAATTAAAAATAAACAACACATGTCACAAATCACGAAACAGAATGTAGCATTCGAAAACTTTAATACTTATAAAAATCCTGACCTAGTATGAATATTAATCAACTCGATCAAACTTGATGGGAATCCAAAGGAATGACCAAAAATGGCTGACAAAGACCCAAAAATAGAAATACAGTATATGATTCACCGGTCTGTGGAATTAATATAAATATCTGCCGAGAATCTAATCATCAGTCCATGGAGATATGGATGTACGTATGTTTAATGGTATGCAGTAATATGAGAGCTCACAAGAAAATAATGTACTCGTATGTACGGAGTGAGTTATGAGAATGACAGCTTGCCTTAGGACATAATAAGGAAACTTACTCTGGAAAAACGCTTGTATATCTTGCAAATTTACTGTGTGGGATCATGTGATGTCGTTTGCTTAATCAGAAAAGCTCGCGATGATTAACACCTTGGAAGAGAATTTTTCTGTACTTTATTGCTGACATACGTCCCTAATTGCCGCAAAATGTGGTAAAAAATTTGACTTCTGCGCTGGGTTTTATTTGGGACGGCTGTGGCGGTCTCTTGTCCGAAAAAATTTTTAAAATATTATTTTATTAAATTTAATTTCTTCGTTATAACATTTAATTATATTGCGATTTATTTTAACGAGTTGCCTATTTCTAAAAGCCACATGTCTAAAAATAGGACCCTTTATCTTCATTTGAAAAGCAATAATTCCATTTTTGAATAACGAATTAGTAAACTGAATAGAAAAATATTTCGTAAATTAATTAATTTTAAAATCCACATGTATGTAGGTATGTATGCGTGAATGTAATCATCAGTTGTCTAAAACAGCTAGGCTGTAACAACAAATGCAATGTAATAGTCGACATCTCTTATTTGTAAACTTTTTAATTGATAAATATATTTCAAAACTAAATGCCACAACTGTAACTACATACGTAGGTAAATAAAATATTAATAATCAAATTTGCATTGGATATATTGACACACATCTCCCAAAAGTGTGAGTAGGCGATTAAACCGGTCTATACAACACAAGGTTACGACAACCGTTGACGTCAACTACGTCATATATTATATCTTAATATTTTTCCAACAAATTCAAATAACGCCAGAAATAAACTCAGAGGGTTTGATGGTCTCTGGCGAGGGACGACCGCAATTAGAAAAAATTAATTTTGGATGTTAGTGTAGTGAGAACTCGAAAGCTTGCCTTCGAAATGAAGTGTAATTTTCGGTAAAACCACGTAAACCACGTAAATGTAAACTTTACATGCTGCAGTACTATGTATTTTAATTTGAATTGTGATTGTTTTTTTGGGATTTTGTGTTTATTCGCATATAGGTTTTGTTGGGTTGAACTGTTTGATCCACTGGGTCTAACTTAGCTGGTTATACATGCATAGTGTTGCCACCAACAATACATGCTGCACTGCTACATTCTTTTTGTGTCTCTAGTGTGAAGAAGAATGCTCTTATTTCTGCGAACTGAAGTTGTCAATCTGGATCCTTTCTTATTATAGACGGAAAATCTTGTAGCTTTTTTGCGCCAAGTAAGCTCAGCCATTGTTTTCCAAATGCTGAACAATCATAAATTGCGGGTTCCACTGTATCCACACATTCCTTGCATTTGCCAGAAGGCAGTGCTTTGTTAAAAGTTCTATCAGTAACTAGGAATCCGCTTTCTCTACAGAAACCAAAAAGTTTGTAAGTTTGGTATGATATGTTTTAAAATAGTTTTCGTGATTCTGCAGCCCTTAGCTTTTTCCCAAAATCCATTTATCTGAGTTTTCTTTTCCCTCTGCTGTTCGTCGAATTCCAACTCTGAAAATGGTTTAAGTTTTTTTCAAAAGACTAGAACTAGTGATTCCCTAAATTGTTGCTGTAGTAGGATGGAGAGGGTTTTGAAGAACATGGCTGGTGGGCTAAGACCCCCCTTTTCAGCGTTTCCAGCTAGTTTTTGACTGTCACAACCACTCGGGGCCTAACGTTGTCTTGTTGCAAAATCACCGAGTCACGCTTTTTGGTCATTTTTGGAAGTTTTTCACGGAAGTCACGGCTCAAACGCATTCGTTTTGGTCGACAACTTTTCTCTCAATTGGTTTCGCCCGGATTGAACAGTTCATAGTACACCAAACAAATTTGGGTTGGCCAGTTCTGTCTTCGTCTTCGATGATAGTATCACGTCTTCGTTGAAACCACGCAATGTTTAACATATCGGTAGGCGCAGATTAACCTTCAACCTGAACTTTTAAGCTTTCAATAGGCTTTAACCTCACTTTTCTTCGAAATGAAATAGAAAATCAAAGCTTTCCGCAAATGCTGTTTATTTAAAACCAAATAGATAATTGCAGCCAAGATCGTCTAGCACGTCTAGGTGGAGATATCATATGAGAACAGTTTGAATTAATTTGTGCCCCATTTAATGGCTATATATAAATGAGTACATATGTTAGATTAATTATTTAGATAGCCTATTATGGCTGGGGAATGAAAGCTCTCTAATAATTTGTGTTTTCTGGATTATCAAAAAGTGAAAATTAAAAATTTTAATCTGTATTTATGAAATACTGATATTCTATTTTAAATTTAAAATTTAAAATTTAAAATATTAGATGGTCTCCTATTTGCTTTGTAATATGATTTGGTCGAGTCCAAAATTATAATAAACTAATTTTTTTCATTGTGGTCGCCAATAGCTACTGAATTTCAAGCCCGTCGAGTGTATTTCTGACTTGCAACAAGAATCAAAATGCATCAGCCGGTCGGGAGCGGCTTAGTATAAACTATTAAACGTTAAAAATTGTTTTGTTTAAAAATTGTTTTTACAGCTGAAAAACTCAACTTTTCTCTACGCGTTACTACATTTCTGCCTATCTTCAGATCTTATGCCAGAGTAGCCTTTATTCGCGTAATCGCACTTTGTTTTCAGATCGCTACGTATTGCAGATTCCCTTTGCGTCTCTTGTAAGAAAAAAGGATTTACAAAGCCTATTTCATCTAGAATCTATAACATTCTTGTCTATTAGAAGAGAATGAGTTCTGAAAAAATTCATAAAATATTTTTTACGATCGAACAAGGCGCTTAAGTTTTTGGGTATTAAACAATTGAGCAGTAGACTCTAATTCATCGCTTCCATGTTTGTTTCCATGATTGTAAATGGATCAGTCCACTGTTCTAACTTCATGAACTTTAATGCTCTCTAGTTGTGAACTTAGGCGTGGAAATCGTTGTTATAATGATTTTGCAAAATCTGACTAAGCCAAGTATGTCCCACTACCCCGAACCATTATGAATTATGAATTTAGATTTATAGCTATGCTGTGGAGCAGTTCGCGCTGTTTTTTTTTAATTACTTACCAATCCTTTATCTATTTATTCTCTATCTTTAGTCAGTGAGAATAATTTTTTACATTTAAACGCATTAAAGAAAAAATAAAAAAATATGTAATAATAAAATAAATAATTTAGTGCGCCTCTGAGCCCTAGTCAATGTTCAAAAAGCCGCATGTTATGGAAAGTATATATTTGTCAGCAAAAATTATAAAAACACACTTACCTCTTAAATATTGTAATATAACAAATATTTATCTTCATTTATTAGCAAATATTAATTATTAATGGAATTATTTAATGAGAAAGTTGATATGTTTCCAGGGATTGCAAATATTTGTAAATTTTAGCTATATTTTAAACTAAACAATTTTATGAAAAAACTTTTTACTTGCTTTAAGAATTCTATATTTCAATTTCATGAGAATTTTTCATTATTGGGATTTTATTTTTTGAGGAAATTCAAATTTTTGCTGCTATTTCACTGCTATTTTTGATATTATAAATAGAAAGCTTACAAAACATATATGCATGTATGTATGCTTGTATGAATGTTTAGACAGTTGTTTTTTTTTGTAATAAGAAGTGTGAATTATAAGTAAAACCAAAACATTTATCTCACCTATAGAACGAGAAAATTATTTTACTTGGTTTTGGTTTGGTCAAATATATTTTTTTACTTCAATTTGTGTTTTATTTTATTTTTCTTTATTATCATATTTAAAGTTTTAATTTTTTATATCCTTAAATATTTTTGAGGAATATTTTTTGTGCATTTTTTTTGTGTTCAATAAACATTCATATTGTGATATTTCTAAATATTTTTGATTTAAATAAATTTTTAATATATTTTCCACATAATTTTGCCTGAGAGTAACCGAATTCCAAAAGTTGAACCAAACCTGTTGCTGGCATAAAATTATATATTAAATACTGCAGCATCTAAAGAATTTAAGGCAAAAGAAGAAACTTATAAAATAAATGCATAAAGTCTGAATAACTGTACTTTTTCCATCTCAATATCGTTGTTGCTCAAGCAACCAAAAGTGGGAGATTTCAAATTATCTTAACTATTTGTGCTTTAGTTTGTATTTGCGTTTATTATTATTACTATCAACATTATCACATTTCCCATTTATATTTTACATCCACATTTATTTGCCACAGATCCACCAAAGCACATTTGAAAATATTTTAAAATTTAAATGCTTACCTTTGTGTGCAACCAACACAATTGCAAAAATATATGTGTACATAAACTACATGCGAGTACAAGTGTTTACAACGGTAATAAGAACATTTCCTGGCGCGCTTACTGTTTGCTACTGTTATGCGCATTTCCGCATACACTTTGAGAGACTAAATTGTAAAAAAAAAAAAAAAAAAAAAATAAAGAAGTAATAATAATAGCACGAAAAATACTAAATTTTACTACATTTAAATTTTGTTGTCTGACATTGTTATTCATGCTGCTGTTGTTGCTATTGTTTCTCTTGCAGGAAAATTACTAGCAATGGCACATTGCATTTCCCACCATTTTTGGCGCAATATTATCGCACAGATGTGCACGAGGCGACATATCGCTGCCGGGCAGCCAACGAAGCTGGCACTGTGCTAAGCCGGAATGTACAGGTGCAAGCAGGTGAGTTACATGAGCATATCCGAAAGTAGTCCGTATATATATAAATGATATATACGTATATCTGCATATGCACTATAGTGAACGCCATATATTTAAGTATATATATATATATATATGTATATGGAAGCACTCATTTTACAAGTTTATACACATAAGTGTGTTTGTATAAGGTGAACGTTAAATTTCCTGCTTTCAGTTAAGTAGGTTTCTCAGCTTGTAACGAAATTGTGGAACGCCAGACACAGGTAAGGAAATAAATAGTTAGCGAATAGGTAGTAATATGCAGTTTGAGGTTTTAGTAAGGCAAGTTAAGTGAACACGTATCCATTGTACAACTGAAAAAATGGCATGAGGTCAAGTATTATCTATTAGAAGTCGCTTCGTGGTGTAACATTTCTTACAGAGCCTAAGGAACTACAATGATTTCCACCCAGTCGCAAGAAAATAAGCTCTACCTCACTGAGGTCAGAGATAAATCATCATTTTTAGCTCAAAATCTACTAGGTCTGGCGCTAATTTGGGCAGAATAAATAGTAAAAATCCACAACTTGCAAGCATTTGAGTATATCAAAATCGATGAAAGAATTACAAGTTTTGCCACGACGCAAGCGAGGGCTTCCACGACTTGCAGAAGAATACATATACACAAATCTGGATGCGGTACGTTATTGAAATTAAAGCTAAAGTTGACCTCTTTGACTCTATTTGTGTTAAAGGATATCTTATTGGACGAAAAAAATGAAATTTTGATGAGTCAAACAGTTTTCAGACGTATTTGCTTCTCTAAACACTATTTCGCTGAAGGTTCTGAATTGTAGTTCACATCATCGCAAATGAATAGCAGAAACTACATTCAAGTGTTGGTGGTGGGTGCATTCATGAAGGCAATGAAAAAGATGATATTTGACTGAATGATGAATAGAAACCAGCAGCTGATTAGCCTGCTCCTCGGACTGAAATCTCATAGAGAAGGGTTTATGTAAATAATCGTGTCAATTTGGCAATACAGATAGACATGAGGGTGCATTTATTACCGAATACTCTAACCTGGATGCTGAGGAAATTGACATAAGCGCTGAGAAAAGATTAATTCGCATTGCAAGAGCCAATGATGTATCGGTTGGTTATTGATCACTGATAGTGGCAAAAAGTCGCAGTTGATCTGAACGGCAGTAGAAAATGTATTATGATTCTGAAACAATTAGAAAAATGTTTTTGCTCCAAAAAAAAAAAAAAAAAAAAAAAAATGCTTACATAATAACTTATTGAGTTTTAATTTTGGTTTGCTTAGTTCATTCCAAAAAACATTTTTCCACTTTACTTTCCTTTTAAAATTAATGGTCAAAAATTCAAAAAGAAGTCGATGTCTTATGATTTTGAAACGCACCTTAAATATAAGGTTGTCAAATATCTCCCATCCGCTTTTTTTGCTCTTCATTCAATGCTTTATAAAAAGTGTTACCGTGATCGGATTTGGTTAAAATATGCGCCGTTTTGTTCAATGATCTGTTTCCATCTAGACGGCAACTTCATAATACCTTCCTCGTAGAAGCCCCCTTCCTTATTTGCGAAGAATTAGGACAGCCACTTTTCACAAGCCTCTTTTGAGCTGAACTTCACACCACCAAGGGTATTCGCCATGGACAGAAACAGGTGGTAATCACTTGGCGCTACGTCCGGGTTATATGGTGGATGCGATAAAACCTCCCATCCGAGCTCCCGTAGCTTCCGAGGAGCCATCAGCGAAGTGTGTGGTCTGGCGTTGTCCTGGTGGAACACCCTTCCTGTTGGCCAATTATGTGATACTTTACATACTCAAATGCTAACTAATCTACAAAAAAATTGCTTTATATAATCATCACGCACTTAGCCCAAAAGCACCTTTGTTTTTGATTTTTAATTCAACAAATCTTTGCTCAAAAATAAAAAAGTTCGCCAGGTCGTATGATCAATATTTAGTGTAAGAATTTTTATGTGTTTTGCTATTTTTGGAAATCCAGCTGAATTTATCAAATCTTACGAGTGTTGTTAACTAACCACCTGTACAAGTTTAGCTTACTTACTTACTTTCATATTAAGTAGTTAAATTTTCTTTATAAAAAATTAGAATTTGAAAAAATAAAATTTTTTTATCTAAACGATGCCGAAAGCTAAACTTTTCACTTCGAAATCTATAGTTGGGATTTCGGAAAATATATTATATTATTGCATTATACTGGGTTCCAAGAAAATAATAACTTTTTAAAAATACTTATATTTTAAAGTTTTTTTTTTTGATAATTTTCTTTATTTTCGGGCTTTCCTCAGCAGCAATGATAGCACAACAAAGCGAGTTAGCCACTTTTGCCTAATCGTTGATGATTAAGTGTCACGAAATGTTTACTAATTTGGCATAATAATGCGAGTTGCGAGTTGGTAGCTTTCATTTTAGTTTTGCTAAGCCAAAAACTGCGAAATCCTTTGCAATTACTTTATTAGTTGTCTTTCAAATTTTAGAACGATAGGCTGAAATGGAGACAAGAAAACGCGAGATAGCTAAGGATGGGTCTGACGAAACTCCACCACCAACGCAGGGGGTTTGACGTAATTTACAGATAATACATATATATATATATATATATATATATATATAATACTATTTCTAAGTGATTCCGAAGAGACTGGACATTTCTCCGTAGAGGACGAGCTCCGAGAAAATCTACCAAAATCTTCCACTGATCACCCCACTGTAGTTTTGGTGATGTCCAAGATTGCCGATTGATACAAAAAATGATTGCCAATGAATTGGACCTGATTGTCATGTCTGTATCTTGAATATAAAGTAATAATCTTGGACACACGAAGAGATCGGCCCGATGGGTATCACATCATTTAAATGAGGACCAAAATGAGGCTCGAGTGCATTTTCCTCAATTTCCTCTAAACCAATTCGAAATGATGAGTTTAGTAAAGTCAATACTGGCGACGAGTGTTGGCTCTATAAAAAAACCACACAGCAGTCCATGGTATGGAGTCCAATAGAAGCAAACCCACCCATAAAATTTAACAATGATGTCAGTTTACTTCACCCGATCCATAATCGTAGTTGTCATTCCATTGGGAAAAAGTCAGACGGTAACTGCAAAAGGTTTAAAAATATTTTTTTTGGAAAATAGGAAGAAAGAAGATTTTCTGCGCTGCTATTTACGTCATAACAACGTGCCTTCCCACAGTGTTGAAGTAACGAGTAATTTTATTGCGCTCTCTGGGATCCAGAAAGTACGTGCAGCACCATATACCCCGGATATGGCACCTTCTGAGTTCTGGTTATTTCCAAAACTTAAAACACATTTTAAATAGAAAAGTCTTTAATAGCAACGAGGAGATAATCAATGCGGTTACTATTGAGCTTGATAAGCCTAAAAATCAAGATTTTGAAGTTGGTTTTCAGAGCGAAAACTTTGAGCCGGCAAAAACGGTCTCCAAGTCAGAGGTGCTCAATTTTTAGGCAATAAGAGAGAAATTGGGTTTCATCGGGACTACGTTAATGGCTCGCCAGAGGTGGTTGGCAGGTTCTTAGGCATCTCATATATATTTCGGAGCTCGTACCAAGTAATAACGATACATTTCTATATATGTCGAATCATTTTGCTGGTGAAGAGATGGCTGGATTTTCCCAATTTTTTTCCAATAAGGACAAGGGTTTCTTTTGGAAAAAGGTTATTGAGAAAATTTGAACACAATGTAATGCTGTCCACTGTCTAAACTAATAAATATTGATTTATTCCAATTTAATAAAATAAAATAAATATTTGGAAAAATTAAAAATAAAATAAAATTTTCAAAATCTTTTCAAAATTTCCTTTGAAATGAATTAGTAAGAATTACAACCAAATGTATGAAAATAAAGTGCAGACAAAAATATCGATCTATGATTTTTTTTTTAAATTTTTGTTGAAATTCAAAAATCTAACTCCAATAGAAGATACTCTAAGCATTTCATCAAAATAAACAAATTCCTTTTGTTTGCATAAAGTAGCTATAGAAAGCTTAAAAAGAAATTTCGTGCAACATTTTTCCTTCACCGGGTTTTTCTCTAAAAACGCTTTTAGGCAAAAAAAAGGCCCACGCATACATACAAACTGAGATATGTACATATTTATGTACTATGCATGCATTTATTTACGTAGTGTTCTCTGATAGTTTAAGTCTTCTTCAATATGGCTTGCAGCTGTCTAGTAGCAATGTATGTGTGTACGTAAACACACGAAAAGTATGCATGTGAATTCTACGAAAATACGAAAACAGAAATGCAAAATTGACTAATAACACTGTTAGTCTGCTTCTAGTTAATGGCTTTGGTAAAGTAAGGCGGGTATTTATTTTCACTTCATAAAAGAATACTTGTTTCTATGGGAGTGTGTACACACGTATGTATGCAATGTTGTGTATAGTGTGTTAAAAATAACTTTTCTGCAGTTTGCTGATGGAAATTTATCGTTCTTTAACGAGAATATTTGGAATTTCATTTTTTTCTGCTATAGATCTCTTAACGTTTAGTCAAACACGAAGCAAAATAATAATACGAAAAGTAAATAGAAAAACAATGAAAAATTCTCATTCGGTGAAAGAAATCGGAGTTAATTCTCATTCGGTGAAAGAAATCGGAGTTAAGAGACTGAAGTTGGATCTGAAAGTTCTTTCATCGATACAATCGAGTATTTAAAATTAATTTTTTCATTATATTTATGGCCTACATGTCAGTGGGACTTGGAAATCACAAAAATAAATAAATAAAAAGTACAACAGTTTCTCGAAAACTACTGAGCGATCTTGGTCACATGGCTTCGTGATAGGAACGTCAAAAACTTGATTTAATTTTTGGATTATAATATTTTGCATAACCATAGCTAACATATTCTTAGGCTACAATTACTCAAGTAATGAGGCGACGATGGAATTATTCAAAAAGTAAAATAAAAAACCTGACACATTTCATAATATCCTAGTTCACTAACAGG